CAAAAAGACATACAATGTCTAGCGCGGCCTCTGACAAATCCCGCAGAGACAGGGCGTCTTAAAACTCAAAGTGCACCACGGCGTCGCTATACATCAGCAGCCAGCTCCTCTTTTCAAACTTTCCCCGAGACAAACAACTGAGCCTCAACTTGTAGTGCAATTGTGCCGCCAGTAATTGTGCTGGTGCCAACAGTATAATTCAGTATAATGGTGAGACAGTAACACGACAGAGTCCTTCCCAAAGGAAACTAACGACATCATTTTTTTTAAAGCAAAATGAGCCTGTGGTTCATTAGCTCCGGTCTAACCAGTGTTATTAGAGCTATTTCAATCTGCATAAAAAATGTCTAAGTCGTTCTTCCTGTAATTACAACGAGCTGAGTCAACTGCCCACAACCAAATGGTCTTCCTCAAGGGCAATTTGGACACGCTGGTAAAAGTCAAACACTCACTTTGTTGTGACCACATTAATGTCAGGTACGGCCGCAGAGTGACAGACATGTGGGCACATATACACACACATTAACACACACACACAAACACAAATACACTCAGTCATAAACAGAAGCCCTGCCCTTACCAGACTTAACACCAGCTAATTGCTCATGTATGGCTCCTTTCACTACACATATACACATAAGAGTGTGCAACAAAGCGTGCTGGCCTGCTGGTCCTCGCTGTCTACAGCTGTGACGTCTCAAATGTGGCGTGTTGTTGATATAACGAGTAACACAAGCGGAAAATTGGAGCTGATGCTGGTGGGGCCAGACTTCAGACTTCCTGATAGGAAGAGAGTGGAGGTTGGCCCATGTATACATTTATATATAGATCATGGCTCCCATCTGGGGCCTTTAATATTGGCATGGGTCTCCTTCATTGGTACAGAAGTGTGCTAGAATGATGCTGTACCGCTTACTCCCCACTCAAGATGAAGAAATAATAGTGATCTGGTTAAAATTCAATCAGTGAATCATATTCCATGCAAGAAAACCAATAAAGCAAAATTCAAAAGGCAAAGCTGTCATACTGACATTTAAAGCGCTTTGACTTATTAAGCACACCAGCTAACTAACACATCAAGAAAACGTTCTACCCTGAAAGTTACCAGCACCTTTAAATGACTCAGTGAATTTGAGACAATTTCTCAAGAACTTGAAGAGATTTATTAGATAATATTAAAACATCCTTTTCCACTAGTACCTACTCGCATCTGAGGTGATCCGAAAACGTGACGTCAACAGACTAGTCATGAGAGCATCTCCACCACAAAATCGTCGCCGAGTCTGACAAAATGCCTTAGACCAAGCAAAAGGTATACCATTGCCTCAATGTCCTCCATTGTTGTTTTGTTCATGTCACATACAAATGGCGCTATGGGACTTCTGGACGCATGCTACAATGACCCCACGTATGTTGGGTGGTACTCGATCGTACTGGAAAATTAGTAGAGTTGGACCAAGCCGATCAAAGTAGGTACTAATGGAAAAGGGCTGTACGCGTAAATACGAGGGAGGAAGAATGTAGGTAGAGCACTGAGAAGTGAACGATTAAAAAAATCAAAATCACTTTTCCATGACTTCAATGGAAAACATCATGACAGACATGAAACAAGAGTTTCTAGACTTGAGGGGAAAAAGGATGGGCTAAAAAATGCCCTGCTGTTTTTAAAGTCCTGTAAAGTCCTGAAGATTGGTTTTTATATATAACAAGTGCTTTGTAGTCAAAGTGTTCTTATTGTTTTGTTTCATGCAGGTAAAAACTATTTCCAATACCAAGAATGTAATTTTTAAGTAAAAAAAAAAAAATAGACAACAAAGTTCAGGCTTTCTGTGATAAAAGTCAAATTAATGCATGATAACCCTAAAGGCTGACACACAGCAACGGGGAGAACGCATACAAACTGAAGCTCATAGACTTTATTTACAGGTATGTCTAGGTTCTTCAGACAGGAAACAACTGTATAGGTGTGCTCTGGTACTTAAACCCATTGTACTACACCCTCTTCCCTCACAAAAAAAGAGGCCTTTAGACTAAAATGACCTACATCATATAACAATGCAAACGCTACAGACAGTGTCATTTAAACCCATGATTCACCAGCTTTACTCCAATCCCTAGAAACTAAAGGAAGTCAGCATGAATCAGACCATAAATGCCGAAGAGCAGGAACAACTTAAAAACAAGTCCAACAACCAGTGTGAACTCCTTTAAGCTGTTTGCAATCTTATCAGCAGAGCCAAATTAATAAATCATTCAGAAAACAGACAAAGGTAGCTATCTTTTTGCTGAATGGTTCAAACAGTCGTTGGTCCACTTCTTTTGAAATAAAAGGAAATGCAATGTAGCTTCGGCAATCTGATCCTCTGGATAATTAAAGTCTTTAGAGAGGGCTACAATGTTCAGACATCTGAAATAGGCCACATATGCTGCTCTAAAAATAAAGTGGTCACTGTTTAAGACTTTTAATTTCAGCACCAAAAAATACATTTCTTGCACCTGTTGAGTATTTTGTGCAGTGGACTGGCTGCTCATTGTGATTACATAAACTTATTTCAGCACGATGTTCAGATCCATATAGCTAAAGAGCACCCACTGGGAAAAAATGTTCACGTTATTCATAACTCTGTGATCCAAGAGTTATCTGGGGGAACAAAGAGATCTGAAAGTCGTATTTCTAATTATGATGTTGTGTTGTGGTGAGGCATTCCCCACTCAAACATCTATTATGGGAGCTGGATCCACGCCTGCCCTCGATTACCACAAAGCACTTTTGACTAAACTGAGTTTAAGAGCACCTAAATGCACAATGGAAGAAAATCATAACCTGTGAATGGAAAATCATAATAATCTCGCTGAAACTAAACATGTCGAAGAAAAATGAAAGGAATTTCAAATAGCAGGGCCTGAGATTTCTGGGTTAAACTCCATTTAAAGTCCCAGCAAAGGTGTTAACCGCACCGGATCAAATTCTCACGTGTCAGAGGGTCAGACAGGTTTACTTTCAAAGTGCCCTGCAGGAAACACAGAGCACATTAAACTAAACAATGACACAAAAATATGCAGCACTAACCAGGACAGTTAAAATATCTCAGCTAACAATCACCTCATTCCTATGTAGGGTGACCAGGTGTCCCACTTTAAAAATAAGTAAAAAATAATGTCCTCTCAATCCCACACATTAAAACAATGTCCCACACAGCATTGATATTTTAGTTTACGTTATATCATGTGCACCTGGGGAATTCGCTGGTATAAGCGATCTTATCTCTTATGAGATTGACGTTTTGTGAAGGATCCCTAACAAATAAAAACTAAAACTAGACTGAAATGTGTGGCTGAAAGAGTTGCGTGGTCTAGATATGCAACAATCCAATATATCGGCCCAATCCTAACTGACGACACTAGATTGGTCACTGGAAGCAACTTCCTGATCTGCAGGCTGACCTATTCATTTCAGTTTTGTTTTGTGCTGTGATGAGAAATTTGAAGAGACATTTCTTAATGCCGAACCTGTTACCAGCAATGTTTTTTGTGTTGTTTCTTTACTTAGACTTATCAGATCACACATTCTCTCTGCCCCACATTTACTGTGTCTGGATCTGGTCACCCTTATCAGTTGCACCCTTAGTTAAGTTCCCAATCCAATTATGTAGTCACTCTTCACATTCCTCTTCAAGCTTTGATGTAGTGATAAGTGGAAATGTGGGCTGGCTTCGGCTTAAAACAATCAAAACACCTGGTTAGTAGTTTGCATTTCATCACTTCCTTGACGTTAAAGTCTGGTCAAAGCTCGGTAAGCTTTGGATTTTAAATGGCTCTACACAGAAATTCCCCTTCTCAATTTCAGTGGCGTCAAACACATTTCAATTCAAAGTTGCTTTATTTTCTCAGCACTCCTCTGTCGGAGCAAGACGGGTCATAACATGTGGCCCAGCAAAAGGGCTCAATTTGGCCCACTGTAGAGTGTGAAAATTCACTGTTATTCTTTGTGCGGTCATGCCCACACTAACCACACAGGAGTGAAAGTGTGTAGAAAGTATTTCTAAATGTAGACCAACTGTTTGAATCATATATATATATCTTGACATTGTTACTTAATTCGAACTACGTGTGGTTTGTTTTCTGTTTCCATTGTGATGTGATGTTTTTCCTTTGTTATAGATAACCCAGAAAATTGATCAGAAATATGTTCTGTTAATTTTAGTTGTGTAGCAAGGGGTCTCTCTTTTTTCCCTCTGAAACCTCGACTGTGGTGAAGGTCAAGATTTCCATTTCTTACACATAAAAAGAGAAAAATCTGAAGGGGTGTTTCTTTAAAATATAGGTTACTATGCGGTATTACTGGTCTGGACCCGGAGATCAAACTGGGCTGCATGTGGCCCACCAACCACAACGAGGTGGTGTCTTTCCTCCACAACAATGCAGATAAACAAACTTATAATTACCGTTGGGAACCTCTTCCAGACTAGGTGCTGCATGAAAACTGTGGCTGCATCGCTATCAGTGCCAATGCATGCAGTGTTAATGACCCGTGTAGTCAAACTAACTCATTAAATTTGAAACTGGGTGCATTGTGGCATCAACAATAAACCAAATGCAGAGCTCTTGTTACGGTGAACCTCGGCGCTGACCCCGACTCCTCACCACTGATCCGGAAAATTAGGCTAACTCTTACTGTAAATCTCTCATCTTCATTTTACCTTAAATGTTTTAAGTTTTCAAATAGCTCATTTGGGGATGGTTCGATCCTCTTAGACGTGTAAACAAAACGGTCATGAGTGAGAGTCTTTCTGGGGTTATTAAAAACAATAACAAGAGGCTCGGATGGATTCTCTCTAGCGCCATAATTTTGTCACACTTTCCCTGGAGCGGAGAGTTTGTTAGCGTGCTAACCAGCCTTAGCCGCCGAGGCTAAGCCCTGTTGTTTTCATTTGAAGAACAGTAGCGGGTGATAAAAGTTTTTTATTACTATTATTAAGTGTGTTTGGGTGCTCACTCACCCGTGTCCGCCGGGGTTTTCATCTTTGTGGTCGTCTTCGGTGAGCCGCAGCCGCTTCGCTCACTTTCCCCGTCAACTTTTGAGTGTTTGTTGGCTAGCCCTTAGCAAAGTTAGCTAGCGAAGTTAGCAGCGACACCCCCACTCCTTCCTCCGGTGTTGTTCTCACAGGCGGCTTGTTAGAAGGAGCCTGCGCCGATTACGGGCTCCGCTTTCAACTTGAAAACCAGCCGCAAACTTCGCATGGAGTTTAGCGGTATAACGCGACACATCTACGCCTGCCCAGAAACTTTTGCGCCGGAGTATTTTCGTTCACTTGCGGGGGTTTTGGTGCGGAAAAGTTGCCCCGAGTCTCAGGAGGGGGGGAAATCCAGCCGCCAGGGTCTGAATGGCGCAGGTCAAAGTTTGGAGGAGCCGTGCTGCTCAGAGCTGGAGCAACGGAATGTGACGAGTCTAAATGTTCATCCCGTTTGTTGCAGCCATGTCGCATGGTCGATTCCTCCTCCTCACCATCATCATCACCCTCCTCATCCTCAGCAACAGTCCAACAGCGGTGCTTCAGAGGCGAACAAAAGTACCGACTCCTGTTCTTTCTCCTTCCCTCAGACTTTTTCCACTCACTCAGACACTTCGTGCTCTCTCTCTGCCCCCCTTCCTTTGGCGGCGTGTCGTGTTTCGCTCTGCTCCTGCCACACGGGGCCGCCCACGCTGACCCACGGAGGGAGGGAGAAACTGAACGCCTACTTTGTGCCGAAGATCGTCTATGTCTATGGAAGATTACCTTTTCCAGGAAAAGCTGCAAGGTGGGACGAGGCAAAAAAAAAAAAAAGTCTGCCTGCCAGGGGCGTTTCCATCGTTTTTTTTGTTTAAATGTGGTGGCACAAACTGGATCACGTTACTCAACGTGCCATATAGCAACTGATGGCCCATCAAAGTAGCACGGAAATACTTACGAGAATGATTTTTTTCTTAAAAATTATATCCTGACACAAACATGACCCTCTGCAGTTGGTAGAATACAGCAATTTGTTTAATGAAAGGAGAAAAGAAGGAGGTCAACGGCAGAGAGTGAGGGCAGAAGGAGGCAGCAAGTGAGGACACTTAGATAAAACATAAAACTGTTCTTATATAAACCATCATGCTATCACTTTGGCTGCTTCGTGTTCAAACTAACATCAGGTATTTTAACACCTACTGCTTTAACAACTGCTCATTGTAGTGAATTAGAACAGAAATATTCTGCTCTGAAGCACTTTTTACTATAAGCCTCATTCTAACCACAGCTTTTTCATTCAATGTTCACCTCATCTAACTGTCTCACACACACCGATACACAGTTCAGGTTCAGAGGAACCAAGGGTCAACCCACTAACCTTCTCTACATCCTGAGGCACAGCCACTCTATATACAGGGGGGAATAAAATCATTTGATAGAAGTCTATTTGCATGTCATTGAGTGACTATCCAGCCAGAGGAGCTTGTTAAAGATCTGATGGCAGTTGGGAGCACAGTTGCAAAGAACACTATTGGTAATGAATGGGACCATGTACCAAAAAATCTTGGATGAGGATCTTCTCCCCTTATGGAAAACACTGAAGATGGACTGTGGATGAGTCTTTCATCATGACAATGAGATGTGTGTAAATCTGGTAACAAACTACATGAAACATCTTACCACTGTGCTTGCCTACAAGGGTTTCCCCACTCATTCAAATCAAATCAAATATTCAAATCAGCATAAGTTTTTCAAAAAAATCCAATGTAGTGAGCTTTAATGTAATGTGAATAAAGCATTCCATAATATCTGTGATGTATGTATATTAGGGCTGCCACGATTAGTCGACTAGTCACGATTATGT